AGGGATTCGGGTAGGGGTCAGCACTGGCATCACCCCAGTGGGGTGGAACTAAGGGAAAGGGGACACCAGACCCGGCCAGTGCCCAGCTAGCCACCTCTTTGTTGTTTATGGCAGAGATTTTTTTGCTTTTGTTTTGTGTTCTGTTTGTTTTCATTTTTAAGATTGTCTGGGAGGTGGCTGTAGCCTTTTCAAACAAATTAAAACTCTCCCGGTATGACCTGACTTTTTCTCAGGACACATAAAAGCTTCATTTCTGAGGGCAACAGTCCTTTTAGAGCTGCAGCTCTGGAAGCCAAGGAGTCAAGGAGTCAAGGAGTGAGTCCCGGTTCTGCCATCAATTTGCAAGTCTGCTTCCCAAGCTGGGCCTCAGTTTCCCTGTTCTTGAAGGAGAAAAGCCTGAATGTCATTTCGAGTTCCTCCCAGCTGGGAGAGTCTGTGATGATCCCCAATGTTTTGGGATTCTGTTCCTTATTTCAGCTTCACACTGCTCACAGAGTAGGCAACAGGACCGTGCTTGCCAAGTAGACTCTCTGACCAAGAAAACCAAATCAATGTGTTCCCACCCTTCTCTCCAGCACACCATGCCTGCTGATTTTATCCAGGATGTAGCTACAGTTCAGGGGAGGGTGACAGTGCAGCAGCAGCAAAGGGAGCTGTTGAAGGGGTCTCAACTGAAGAAGACACTGGATGGCCTGGGAGGGAGGCTGAAGGTGGCATTGCTTTTTATGTGACTAATTGCTCACCTAACAAGTATCTACTAGGTGCCCACAGTGGTGGGCCAGGCCCTCAGCAGGTGCTGGCGCCATGGGCTCTGATGTCAATGTGTTGTGTTGTTATGGAGCGCCAGCACTTGCTATGCATTGTCTTACCCTGTCTTCACAATATCCCCATGGGATAGCTATCAATATCATCTTTTTGGTACTTAAGGAAATTGGGGCCCAGAGAGGGTAAGAAACATGCTCTGGGTCTCATTAAGAAAGTGTCACAGCTGAGATTTAAACCCAGGTCATCAACTCCTGACTTCTGAGCCATGCTTTTAACTGCTTCCCAATGGCTCCTGTGCATCCACTGGACCTAAGAATGTCCAGTTTCTGGGCATCTACTCTGGTCCCGTGCTGGCAACTGGGGGTACGGCAACAAATTGGACTGTCCAGAGCCCATGGAAGGGCTCCAAGAGCTCAACACAGGACCCAGGTGTCAAGATGCACTTGAGAAAACCCATAGCCTGTTGGCTGCTACCACACACGGAGTCCTGTTCCCACCTAGGTTCAGAGAGTCTGGCCCACTCATTGATCCATCAGTTCATCCGTCCATCCACTTACTTATTCATAGCTCACTCATTCACTGAAACATTCACTGAACCCCTGTGGCCCACTCTGTACTAGGCTCTGGGCTAAGATTTGGGGATAAACCTCACCAGGAGAGACCAGGTCATTGACTCACCACTGAGGGCGTAAAGGAGGGTCAGACAGTAAACAGAAATAGATGAGATGGTTCAGGGTGGGAGGAGTGCTGGGAAGACAATAAAATCAGGCAGAGAACTGAAGAGAGACTGGGAATGAGAGAGGCACTTTAGGTGGGGTGGTTAGAGGAGGTCCCTAAGGAGCTGACTTTACAATGTGGCCAGAATGAGGAGAAAGAGCCAGCCCAGGGGAGTGCAAAGCCTGCAGAGTTGGGAGAATTGGAGTGTGCTAGGAGATGACAGAAGGCCTCTTTGGACTGGGAGTAAGTGGCCTCTGTGATGCTGGCATGTGGTCAGCTCCAGACACTCTGTATCTACAACTGATGCTCACTCCAGCAACCAGTGCCTGACTCCTTCCGCAGGGGCCTCTCTCATAGACTCCAGCTCATAGACAGCCTGTGGTTGAGGCCCCTCCTTCTCCAGGGTGGGGCTGGCAGGTGTCACCAGTCTCTGCTGTCATGGAGTGGGGCCTTCCTGAAAGGGCATCAGCAACGGCTGACCTTAGCTTGGCCTCTACATTCGTCAGACTCTGGGTTTCTTCCCCCAGCCCCAGGGGTTGGGGCTTTATGAAGCCTTCTGTGCTGCAGCAGAGAGAGGCTAAGAGACTAGACTGAGGTCATTCAGCAGGTACCTGGACAGATGAGTCTAGAATTCCTCCTTTGCCTCCAGTTTCTATCCATGATTTTCCATCCTAGGTGGTCTCTCTCTAGGCAGAATATATCTTTCCTTCTATTCCTGAATGTTTACCCAGTCTGGGCTTGAATAAAGCAATATGTAAGGAAAAGGCAAGGTTTCCTTGGACCTGTGCTTTTCTTTTTTTTCTTTTCTTTTGATTTTTTTTTTTTTTTTTGAGATGGACTTTTTCTCTTGTTGCCCAGGCTGGAGTACAATGGCTCGGTCTCAGCTCACTGCAACCTCTGCCTCCAGGGTTCAAGTGATTCTCCTGCCTCAGCCTTCCAAATAGTTGGGATTACAGGTATGCACCACCACACCCGGCTAGTTTTGTGTTTTTAGTAGATACGGGGTTTCTCCATGTTGGTCAGGCTGGTCTTGAGCTCCTGGCCTCAGGTGATCCTCCTGCTTGGCCTCCCAAAGTGCTGGGATTACAGGCATGAGCCACCAAACCCGGCCCTGTTCTTTTTTTATGTCAATGTTTAATGTTACCTATAATCATCCATTCGTCCATTTATTTGTTTCCAGCAGGCATTTATTCATCCAACTAAAGAATCACAAAACATCCACTGTGTGAATTACCAGGAAGAACAAGTAGAGGCCTTATCTTTCATGATCTCACAGCCTAGCCAAGGGCTCAGGGCACAGCAAGGATTGTGGGTGGTGGGACAGCGGCAGGGGGTCCACAGAGACTGGGGGCGGTGGGTTGGGCAGCAGTGGGAACAGTTACAATAGCTACCATGCAACATGACTGGATCGTATCAAAAGCAAAAGCAAATTACTGTTGGAGTACAAATGACAAAGGAACCAACTGCTCAGGGAGTCAGGGAAGGCTTCGCAGAGGAAGGGGCATTTGAGCTGGGTCTTGGAGAATCAATAGAAGTTTGCTAAGCAAATCATGCAGGATATTGATATTCTGGGTAGAGGGACCTGCATGGGCAAAAGCACAGCCATATGCTGTGCCTATTTAGGAAGGAAACAGGATGGAACCTGGCTAATGAAGATGACAGCTATCATGTATTGTTTGGGGTGATTAGTGTGTCCAAGTGTTTTGCATCTATTTAATCTTTATAACAAGTGTCATTTGCCCCATTTTTACAGATGGGGAATTTGAAGCCCAGAACAGGGAAGTCACTTGTCAAAGGTCACACAGCTAGTAAGAGGCAAAGACAGGATTCAGGCCAGGTCTGCCTGACACTTGTATCCTTCACTCCTCCCTCTCAGGCTGAGATGTCAGGGTGAGGACAGTTATGTCAGGGAACCCCAAGAAACCCTAACTTGTTTCAGAATCTGCAGTGCAGTGGCCTGGCAGCCTAGCAAAGGACGTAGCAGAGTTCTCTTCCAGGATCCCTTTCTTGCTCTCCCTGCCGGGACTGAAGTCTGCTCTGTCATCCGCCTCTCCATCCATCCGTGGCCTGCAGGCCTTGTCTCAGCTGACGCCAAGTAAAAGAGGGTCACGGGAAGAACAGACATCACCTCATTTCCAAGGATGGTGCTGTACATGGAGATGAAGTCTCGCCAGCAGGCAAAGGGGCCTCTGCAGAGGCAGAGGAGCCAGGGGTGCTGACAGGCACATTCTCTGAAGCCAGGCGACAGTCTAATTACAGGCCGGCTCTGTAATGAGAAGCGTGGACTGGCTGGGGCTACCCAGCACGGCTCAGGGCTCGTGGCTCTGAAGGAAAGAGGGGCAGTCAGCATCCAGGCATGCAGGAGGGCCTTGGGGAGAGACCACCAGCTCATCTGTCTGCAGACCACACACGTGCTGGCTCTGGAGAGGGTGAAGGGGAGATGAACGAGAACCAGGCTGAATACCGGTCATGCGGCAGGTGCTAAGCTGGGACTCTTACTTCCATCTCTCATGTAATCCCCCAACAACCTAGAGAAACAGGTGTCATTTGCTGTTTCATAGAGGAGAAGATGGAGGCTTCCAGGAGTGAAGCAAATTTCTCAAAGCTCACATACCCAGGAATGGAGGTATGGGCTTCTGACTAAGGTGTGGGTGAAACTGAAAGGCTGTTTTCTTCCCAGGGGGAAAGGAAGAGGCAGTTCCATTCTGGGGCTGAGAGAGACCATGAGGAACAGGAAGAAACAAACAGGCTTGGCTGTGACCCAACTGGGGCCCTCCCCACCAAACTATGTGGGCGAGACAGGAACATGAGAAATTATTTTGAATGTCAAAGCACAGGGTGACATCAGAAACCTGAGTGGCTTGGGAACCTCAGGGCTGCAAATTTGGGCTCTTAACTTTGCCTTTCTTTCTTTGCTCACCTTTGTGTTTCTTTGGGATATAAGTCCCTGGGGAAGTGAACGGCCCCTAGGCTCCTGTGCCAGGCTAGGCCACAGATCACCTCCCTCTGACAATCCTCTGAAAACTTCCCCACACACCTTCCTCCCCAGAAATTCTTTGGGAAAAGAGCCATGCTTTTTCCCCTGGACTTTGCCTCCTTGTTTGGAAGGGATTGCAGTGGGCAGTGGCTTGGATGCAGCTCTGTGGGCCAAGGAGCTATGACTAAGGTCCTTTAGCAACTGCTGGGGCCCTCGTGGCACAGAAAAGCTGCCACCATAACAGGGTAAGTATTCTCAGCCTCTCTAAGCGCCACCTGCTTCTGATTCAACTAAAGGCCTGCCTGGGGACTGCGGGTGCAGCTGCCTCTCCTGCGCTCATATCATGGCCTCCACCCCAAGCTCTGGCTGCAATCCAGCTCTCCCTACCCAGTGGGACCCCTCATGTCATGTTTTGACCATGCTTTAAAACTCAGGAGGGGTTTTCCTGTTTGCAAAACGCCCACTCACAACAGGTTAGCCCTGTGTCTAATACAACTCAGCAAATTCTGGGACACAACGGAACAGGTGTTGCATCCTGTGACACAGGAACCTCACTTTATGTAAATTGGGGGAGATCTCCACCCTCACACTTGTTCACAGCGGTACTACAGAGCCGTTTAAGACTTCAGGCCCTGCTGTGATGCTTCTTCCCTCCCAAGCCCGGCTCCAGTACCTGCCAGCGGAGCCGCCTTGGTGTCACTTCCTTTGCCCTCACTAAACCTCAGGTTCCTTATTTATGAAATGAGCTTGGTGTCCTGTCTACTTCACAGGATGCTGGTAAAGATCAAACGGGGTGATCCAGGTGTGCCCTGAAGTGCTGCACCAGCCATTTAGCAGCCCTCACCGTGTGCCACCTGCACATGGCCTGGAGTGGCAAAGCCCCTGAAGACACTGAAGCTGTTGACCTTTTCCTCTTCTTCAGGAACATGGTCCGTCGAGTTATTTTCCTTCACCATCCACAAATAAAAAAAGACGTTGTTATTAGCTTCAAAATAGCTCTTTCCCCAATGGGAAATTTCTGGTGACAGTCGCTACGGAAACACAGGCCCATCGGGCAGGGCTCTGGGCCAGCATCTGGAAGGCAGGTAAGGAAGCGACTCACTAATGCTTCTGAGTGTCACCTAGCAGGTCTCCACCGCCTCAGGGGTGGCTGGCAAGGGCAGTGCAGTCCTGCACCTCCACAGAGGGGGCTCCGTGCATTGTACCAGCAAGTTGGCTGCAGAATGGGCACCCCTGGAAAAACAGGGTAGAGTTGAGGGCTGGGACAAGGTTGGCATTAGAGAAGACTGGGATGGGCCCCAGGTGTTTTGTTCTCAGAGGCTCTGACCCCATCTGGTCAGCCCCATGGCTGCTCTTGCCTCGCTGTGGAGGCAGAAGCAGCTGGCATTGCCATGGTAACCAGGCAGCACCAACTTCCAAATCACCTCTGAATTTTCTATGACAACAAACATGTTTGCAAAGTGAGAGCCATGAGCTGTAAATTACGCCAGGGAGCTGTGGGGAGCTGATAAGGAAGGGTGGTCAAATTTCCTACCTCCTTGGTTAACCAAGAATGTAGAGAAAAGGCACGGACTAACCCAAATTCAGGCCTGAAAGAAACATTAGCTATACTTCCCCTTGTTGAGATAGAGTGTACGGGGACTACTGTTCCCTTACATAAATGCACTGAGCAAATGTGAGCCATCAGGCTCTGGTGCAGATGGTGGGATGAGGAGCTAAGGAAATGGAAAGAAAGACAGGACCTGGGTATCAGTGAGATGAAAGTCCCTGGAACCCAGATTGGAGAAGACTTCACAGGAGGGAGGTCTTCGTAGATTTTGAAAATTCAGTCTGGATACAGTGTCTCACACTTATAATCCCAGCACTTTGGGAGACTGAGGCGGGGGGATCACTTGAGGTCAAGAGTTCGAGACCATCCTGGCCGACATGGTGAAACCTCATCTCTACTAAAAATACAAAATTAAACTGGGCATCGTGCTGTGCGCCTGTAATCCCAGCTACTTGGGAGGTGAAGGTTGCATTGAACCAAGATTGCACCACTGCACTCCAACCTGGGCAACAAGAGGGAAACTCTGTTTCAAAAAAATAAATAATAAAATAAAAAAAGAAAGAAAGAAAATTCAGATTCCCAGAAGATGCAGTGAGCATTCCCTATGTGCCTGGCAACAGGAAGGTATTTCCAAATCTATCACATACCCATCTCATGATGGCCCTGGTCTCCCCTCACCATTGTAGTTAGCCACATACTTATTTCAACATCTCTAGTATCCACATTAATAAAAGTAGGAAGAAACAGGTACAATGAACTTTAATTATACATTTATTTCATGTAATACATTCAAAATATTATTTCAACATGGAATCACTATAAAAATGATAAAATGATTGCTGTGATTTTTTTTCTTTTCTGAGACAGAGTCTTACTCTGTCACCCAGGCTGGACTGCAGTGGCGCAATCTCAGCTTATCATAGCCTCTACTTCCGGGGCTCAGGTGATCCTCCCACCTCAGCTTCCTGAGTAGGTAGGACCACAGGTGCCTGCCACCACACCCAGCTAATTTTTCTATTTTTCACAGAGACGGGGTTTCGTTATGTTGCCCAGACTGGTCTCAAACTCCTGGGCTCAAGTGATCCAGCAGCCTCAGGCTCCCAAAGTGCTGGGATTACAGGTATGAGCCACCGCACCTGCCCTGCTGTGTTTTGTGTTCCTTTTCCTTCCTAAGTTTCAGAAATCTGCCGTGTCTTTGATCTTCACAGCACCTCTCAATGTGGGCTCACACATTTCAAGTGCTCCACGGCCACACGTGGCCAGTGGCTACTGTACTCAATGCTGTGGTTCTGGATGCTGGAGGTGGAGGTGTGGCTACGTGATGTACTTTGCCTTGGGTTGGCAAGCTTGTTCACTTCAGAGCTGAGAATCCAACCCAGGACTGTGCCCATGGGAAGGGGTCTGAGCAGCAGGTGTGGTCCTGGAAAGGGGTTGGTCTGCTGCAACAACTCTGCTCAACCTCTGTGGACATTTTGGGCCAGGTCATTCCTTCTTGTGGGCAGCTGTCCTGTGCTTTGTAGAATGTTTACAGCATCCTCAGTCCCTGTCCACCAGAGGCCATTAGCAATCCCTGAGTTGTGACAACCAAAAATCTCCCCAGATGTTGCCAATCTGCACTGCAGATTCTGGACTCACCAGCCTCCATCATTGCGTGAGCCAATTCCTAAAGGCACATCTCTTTCGAATACACACACTCCCTATGAGCTCTATTTCTCTGGACATCCCTAATTAATAAAACAGATTTTCATTAGCTACTTCTTGAAAAAGTAGGAGAGAAATCAGTTTTGTTTCCTGTAAGTGTCAGGAAGAAATGCAGTGTTTAAAGAAGGAAAGTCACAAGCTGAAACTATTTCATGAGGAATCGCCTTGTGATTGGATATCGGAGATACTGGAATGCTGTCCAGGGTGGGAAATGGCTTTTAGTAAGACCAGCTTGAGGCACGGAGTGGGCCAGGTCAGGTCCAAGCTGGGCTGGGTGAGGTGAGGGGGCTGTGGGAGGTGAAGGTCTGCCTGTTAGTGCAGTGGTAGCTAGGACCAGCTGGGCTTGGCTGCAGATGTGTGGGAGGGCAGGAGGTGGAAGCAGAGTCAGTCAGCTCAGCAGCTACGCTGGACCCTGGGGAATATGAGCAGGAGCAGGTGACAGGAAAGACGAGAAGGTTCTAGCGAACAATGAGCAATTCTTCATGGTCCCCTACTTGGTTGTACTTAGTCGCTGAACACCTGAGGGAGAAGAGGCCAGGTGCGCTGAGGAACGTGGCACCTGAAATAAAGCGGGCTGGTGGTGGGGGCGGAGGGTCCTAAAGGAAGCTCTGAGGTAGATGAGCTCCCCGAGGAGAAGAGCAGAGAACTGCGATGGATGCCAGGGGCACCAGCCCTGCGAAGCAAAGGACTAGAAGCCAATGAGGGAAAAGAAGAGGCTTGACGGGCAGTGCCCTGAAGGCCCCGCCAGGGAGCAAAGTCTCTTTCTTGAGACTCTTCCACTGCTCAGGAGCCTGTGGGGTGCAGTAAACTGAGCCTGAGCTCCCTCGCACCCCACCATGTGACCTTGGCTGATCACCTCCCTAAGCTGAAGCTTTTTATCTGTAACTTGTAGGTAGTAATTGCCACCCACAGTTACTGCAAAGATCGGATAAGATTATAATTGCTAACCATGAGGAGGCACTTAATAGGTGCTTAATAAACCTTTTGGCCTGTTGGTAGCTGTCCGGTTGTAGCAAGTGTCCCATCCTGACCTGTGTGCAAGGAAGAGCATGCTGGCCTTTCCTGCTCTGAGAACACTATTGTCAGGTACTCCCTAGGGGCCTAGTGCATGCCCTAACTCTAAAAGCCCTTTCTGGAGGGACTGGTGTTATTATCCCTACTTGACAGATGAGGAAACTGAGACTCAGAGACTTTCCCAAATGTCCACAGCTGGTAAGTGCTGCAGCTGAGTTTCCAGTCCAGGCTGCTGGACTAGACAGTCTGCGTGGCTCTGCTCAGCCACCTTATGCAGTTCTACCACCAGACTCTGAGCTCCTTGAGGACAGGGATGGCCTCATTCAGAATCTCACACTATGCCAGACACAGCAGTCAAGACAAAAGTTCTGCAGAGAATTCTGACAGTGCATTGAGACAGAGCAGGACCAGGCTCCTCCTCTGGCCTTCAGTGCCTCTTCTTTTCATGGGAGAGGCTCTGGGGGTCAAACATTCATTATGCACAGAAAAACAGTGATCAAAATGGTTTGATAGAGGAGAGGCAGAGAGCACTGCGGTGGATAGATCGCAGGCTCTGGAGACAGATGCTGGGGTCTGAAAGTTGAACACATCACTTCCTAATTAGGAGACTTGGAGCAAATTACCTTACCTCTGTGTGCCCAGGTAGCTGAGATATAGAGCTAAAATGAAATAATGAAAATGCCAACCAACCAGGACTGTTGTACAGGTTAAATGAGATAATGTAAGTAAAACCTGGTCCACAGTGAGCACTGAATAAGTGTGACTCATTTGGAAATCAAGTAGGGAAGACCAAGACGAAAGATAACACTTGCCACTTATCAGACATCTGAGGTATTTCCAGCAATTTCTCTGCATTCTTTCCAATAACACCCACCAGCTGCCGGGAGACAGGAGCTATTATACCATGTGACTGGCAGATGGGGAAGTTAAGGATCAGAGATGGCACGGAGTGTCCGAGGACACACAGCTGAATAAACGCAGAACTGAATAACAAAACCACGAATGCATTTTGTTTTTTGCCTCTGAATGCCACACTCTCTCTTGCCCTCAACAGTTCCTGGAAGGCTGAGGAGGAACACAAACCTGTTGGCCAGGCTACCTGGTTGAAAACTCATGATTGGAGAGGGATGAGGCAGGCCAGGGAGCAGAAATTCTCAAGGGTTGGACCTGGGAGGGGAGTTTTAGAAGTGTTCTGTGCATCCCATTCTTATTCTCATTTCACAGATGAAGAATGTGAGGTTCGGCCACTTGGAGGGTCCTGCCCAAGGTCACACAGCCAGCAGGTACCAAGTGAAGATTCAAGCCAGATCTGAGTCTGAACTGCCTGAATGTGAGGTCTTGCCTCTGTCCAGGGCACCCTGGAGTAGGAGGAGTGGAAGGGGGATGGGGAGTGGGCTGGGGAGGTTACTGTCTTCATCCCACAAGTATCCAAGGAAGTGCCTAGAGTATTCAGAGGACCAGGATGCTGCCAAGTGGATTTGTGAATCCCACGTGGATTGTGATAAGCATTAGCTCCCTCCCAGGCCAGGACAGGGGCTCTGGACAGAGCCAGGATACACTAAGCCCATGAGCCTGTGGTGAGACCCTGCATGCTGATTACAGCTGCACTCTTCCATTTCAGTTCTAACCACACTATCTGTTTTCTGCCTGGCATGCCAGTTCCTAGAAGAAGGAGCTCCATCTCTGTCTGTATCCCTGGCAATTCATATGCTGACATGTAGTATTTGAACTCACATCACATACTCTGCTCCACACACCCACCTTATCGCTCACTATCCTCATACCCTTTGTTTTACATGTCCCTACTTGACACCAGGTATTTATTTACCCATTAGTTGATTGCCTATGTCTATCCCCTATGCAAGATTGGGAGCTGCAGGCTGAGAGACAGCCTGTCTGTTTTATGTGTAGCTGTGAACCCCTAGGAGAATTCCTGGCACATGGAAGGGGCTCCATAAATACCTGTGGAGTAAATGAATGAATAGTAGGTGCTCAATATGGTTTTCCAGAATCAGTGGTTGAGCAGACACTGTGTGCTAGGCAGTTGCACATGTTACTGCATTTAATTCCCATGCTCACTTTGAAGCAAAGAATTATCTATCTTTTACAGATCGGATGAAAGAAGAGGGGTGATTTCTCCATGGTCACATGTCTAGTTGGCGACAGAAGTGGGATTCAAGCCCAGTTCTGTCTTAATTCATAGCTTATTCCTGTTCGACTTCACCCTGCTGCCTCGAAGATAAAGTCGAGATCAGGAGAGCGGAATGCTAGCTTCCCCAGAGGAACATGTGGTCTCATTTTCTGATTAGGGATAGTTCACAAAATTCATGATCTGGTCACCAGAGGATAAGAACCAACCAGGTTAATGTAAAGAAAATGCTCAGCTGCAGCTGTTTAATGAGCAACTCAAAGCTTTGTATAAGGTGACTGACCTCATCAGCAAGCCGGGTAACCACCCTGATGCTTTTAGCTCTTGATTTTACAGGGACTCAGAGAGGTCGAGGTAACTAGCCCAAGGCCACACAGCTAGCTCCTAGAACAGCTATGTGGAGATCTGATCTGTGTGCCTCCAAAGCCTGTTTTCCCCCAAGTCGTTTCATGGAGGCATTGATAGGTCCTGGGGCCAAATTGCAAAGCCATCTAATCGGCGTTCGGTCTCATCCCACTCCCACAGGAATTTGCTGTCGGATCCTTGGTAGCAAATTTCTTTCTTTTTTTCTATTAGATGCAGGTTGTACATGCGCAGGTATATCTGGGAACATTGTGTGAAGCTGAGGCTGAGGGTACAAATAATCCTATCGCCCAGGTACTAAGTATAGTGTACCCAACAGTTTTTCAGCCCTTGCTCCTCTCCCTTCCTCCCCACTCTAGTAGTCCCCAGTGCATACTCTTCCCATCTTTATGTCCATGAGTAGCCAATGTTTAGCTCCCGCTTACAAGTGAGAACATGTAGTATTTGATTTTCTGCTCCTATGTTAATTTGCTTGCAATAATGGCCTCCAGCTTCATCCACGTTGTTGCAGAGGACATAATTTTGTTTTTTTTCTATGGCTGCATAGTATTCCATGGTGTATGTGTGGTGTATATTCTTTTTTTTTTTTTTTTTTTTTTTTTTTTAGACGGAGTTTCGCTCTTGTTACCCAGGCTGGAGTGCAATGGCGCGATCTCGGCTCACCGCAACCTCCGCCCCCTGGGTTCAGGCAATTCTCCTGCCTCAGCCTCCTGAGTAGCTGGGATTACAGGCACGCGCCACCGTGCCCAGCTAATCTTTTGTATTTTTAGTAGAGACGGGGTTTCACCATGTTGACCAGGATGGTCTCGATCTGTTGACCTCGTGATCCACCCGCCTCGGCCTCCCAAAGTGCTGGGATTACAGGCTTGAGCCACCGCGCCCGGCCCGGTGTATATTCTTTATCCAGTCCACTGTTGATGGCCCCTTGATTGGTTTCTTGTCTTTGCTATTGTGAATGGTGCTGGGATGAACGGGGCATGCATGTGTCTTTTTGGTAGAACTATTTGTTTGCTTTTGGATATTTACCCACTAATGGGATTGTAGGTCAAATGGTAGTTCTGTCTCAAGTTCTTCAAGAAATCTCCAAACTGTTTTCTACAGTGGCTGAAACAATTCACATTCCTACTAGCAGTGTATAAATGTTCCATTTTGTCCACAGCCTCATCAGTATCTGTGGTTTTTTTGACATTTAGTAATAGCCATTAGGTCTGGTGTGAGATGGTAACTCATTGTGATTTTGATTTGCATTTCTCTGATGATTAATGACGTGCAGCATTTTTCATAGCTTTTTTTTTTTTTTTGGCCTCTTGTATGTCTTCTTTTGAGAAGTGTCTGTTCATGTCTTTTGCCCACTTTTTGATATTTGCTTTTTGCTTGTTGAATGGTTTAAGCCCTTTGTCAAATGTATAGTTTTCAAATATTTCCCCCATTCTATAGGTTGTCTCTTCACTCTGTTGATAGTTTCTTTTGCTGTACCCAAGGTCTTTAGCTTAATTAGATTCCATTTGTCAATTTTTGTTTTTGTTGCAATTTATTGCATAATTATCACTACAGACAATTAATAATCAATTGCATAAATTAATAGTATGATTAATTTATTATCATAAATTATTTCCCAAGGTTGATGTCCAGAATGGTGTTTTCCAGGTTTTTTCTAGGGTTTTTTCTCTTTTTTTTGGAGATAGGGTCTCACTCTGTTGCCCAGGCTGGAGTGCAGTGGTGCAATCTCAGCTCACTGCAACAGCTACCTCCTAGGCTCAGATGATCCTTCTCCTTCAGCCTCCCAAGTAGCTGGGACCACCACAGGGACATACCACCACACTTGGCTGATTTTTTTTTTTTTTTTTTTTTGTAGTGACAGGGTCTCCCTATGCTGCCCAGGTTGATCTCAAACTCCTGAGCTCCAGTGATCCTCCTGCTTTGGCCTCCCAAAGTACTAGGATTACAGATGTGAGCTGCTATGTTCAGTGTTTCTAGGGTTTCTTATAGTTTGAGGTCTTACATTCTTATACTTAAATCTCTAATCCACTTGGAGTTAATTTTTGTATATGGTGAATGGTAGGGGTCCAGTTTAATTCTTCCTCATATGACTAGCCAGCTATCCCAGCATCACTTACTAAATAGGAAGTCCTTTCCCCATTGCTTAATTTTATCAACTTTGTCAAAGATCAGATGGCTGTGGGTGTAAGGCTTTATTTCTGGTCTATGTGCCTGTTTTTGTACCAGTATCATGCTGTTTTAGTTTCTGTAAGTCTTAGATTATAGTTTGAAGTCACATAATGTGATGCCCTCAGCTTCGTTCCTTTTGCTTAGGATTGTTTTGGTTATTTGGGCTTTTTGGTTTCATATGAATTTTAGAGTAGTTTTTTTTTCTAATTCTGTGAATAATGATGTTGGTAGTATGATAGCAATAACATTGAATCTGTAGATTTCTTTGGGCAGAATGGCCATTTCAATGATACTGATTCTTCCAATCTATGAGCATGGGATGTTTTTCCATTTGTCTGTGTCATCTGTAATTTCTTTCAGCAGTGTTTTGTAGTTCTCCTTGTAGAGATCCTTTACCTCCTTAGTTAGCTGTATTCTCAGGTGTGTGTGTGTGTGTGTGTGTAATAAATGCTATTGCATTCTTGATTTGGCTCTGAGCCTGATCATTATTGGGATATAGAAATGTTACTGATTTTGTGCATTGATTTTGCATTCGGAACCTTTACTGAAGTCATTTATCAGTTCCAGGAGCCTTCTGGAGGAGTTGTTTGCTTTTCTAGGTATAGAATCATACAGTCTGCAAGGAGAAATAGCCTGACTTTCCCTTTTCATATTTGGATTCCTGTTATTTCTTTCTCCTGCTTGATTGCTCACTGGCATCTAATTTCAACTTCAGTGTGGATCTTCTCAGCATTCTTTGAATATTAATAAGTATCTCTAGAAACCAAAACACTTTGGGAGGTCTGATCAAATAGACCTCTGAAGAAAATTTCAACATTTGGACCCAAATATTGGGTGCAGTTGATAACCATGACCCTGTCTTCCCAGCATCACCTCCTTTTCCTGGGACTTACTCTGCCTCCACTCCAAGCACTACCTCTGGCTGAAGAGGCTTGTCTCATATGACCCTGTCCCAATATAAACTGAGCCAATCATGGCACTTTCTACCTCAAAGACAGTTTTGACTGGTCCAATTCAGACCAATCAGAGACTTTCTGTGATACTGGAATATAATAAATATATGCATTTGTTCTTCCTCCTCAGTTCCTGGCACAGAGCTCCTAAAACGCTTGTAATTTTCCAAGTGATGGGGTGACAGGAGCATCTTTTGTTATAATATTTAGCCTTAGTCACTGGTTCCTGACACTTGAGCTTCTAAGACCTTTGGAATCTCCAAAGCAGTAAGAGTGTCTTTTTGTATGCTAATGAGCTGAGATCTCTAACCAGCTTCAGGATGGGACTGGTCACCAGAAAGACTAAGGCAGGTCAGGAGGGTTGGGACTTTCAGCCCCGCCTTCCAATCTCAGGGAAAGGGAGATAGGTAGGAGATAGAGTTAATCACCAGTGGCCAGTAATTTAACCAAGCATGCTTATGTAATGAAACCTCCCTAAAATCCCTGGATGGTGGGGCTCAGAGAGCTTCCAGGTCAGTGAACATGTGGGGACATTGGGTGGAGGGTGTGCACCTGGAGAGGGCATGAAGCTCTGTGCCCATTCCCTCCTACCTTTCCCTACATATGTCTTCTTTCCAGCTGTTCCTGAGTTGTACCCTTTATAGTAACCCAGTAAAATAAGCAAAGCGCCTTCCTGAGTTCTGTGTGCTATTGTAGCAAATCATCAAACCTGGGGAAGGAACCCCTGATGTACAGCCAGTTGGTCAGAAGTATAGGAGGTCCAGGACTTGTGGCATCAGAAGTGGGGGCAGTCTTGTAGGACTGAGTCCTTAACTTGTGGCATCTGATACTAACTCCAGGTAGATACTGTCAGAATTAAGTTTAATTGTAGGACATCCAGTCGGCATGAGAATATTGGAGAACTGGTTGTTGGTCTGGATAAACCCTACACATCTGGTGTAAGAAGTATTCTGTAAGTAGAAACAGGTTGTACCTTCCCTAGGAAGTTTCGAGTGGGAACTGAGGGAAGGGGAATGTTTCTCTCTGGTAATAGAATGTGCAAGATGTTCAACTCAAAAATCAAGAGATAACTAATTCTCAGAGAGAAATTTGAGAGTTGAGACAGCCTGCCACAGGACCTACAAATCATCTGAAAGAGGCATCATCTTCCTAACTTCCTTGGCTTGGGAAACCAAGCATCCTTGGGCCACTCAGTCCCTGTGGCATCTACATAGCTCATTATACATGCCCCCAGAGCACAGAGGCAGTGTGGAGCCATGGCAGAGGTGGAAGCTTTAGAATCAGGCTGCTTGGGCAACAGTCCCAGCCCTGTTACCTACTGTGTGGGATGTTAGACAAGTCACTTAACTTCTCTGTGCCTCAGTTTCTTTATCTGAAAACAAGAAGGATTATAATGCCTTCTTTCTATAAAGTTGTGAGCATTAAAAGAGGTAAGATGCTAGAAGGCACCCAGTAATAGTAGGTGCTATTATTAATTGCAAACATAGTAAACTCTTCGTCCTTGTGGACAAACTCTTTGGTACTACAGCCTACTGTTCTAGGGGACTTCTCCACGGAAATGTGGACCATGTAGAAGTCAGCCTTACTTTGGCCCCACAATGCCCTCTGAAGGCTCTACCCCCAACCCCTTCCTAGCCCAACCTCACCCAGCTGGGCCTGGCATGCCAAAACCCAGAATTCCTCGCTGAACCCAGAACCCTCCTGTTATCATCTGAAATCCACCTGCAGAGAAGCCCCTCCCACCCAGGCTGCTCCCCTCTCTCCAAGACGCCTGGCACACACATGCACCAGCACACACAGTCTCCTGTGCATATGCACATGCATGCAGGCAAACCCCACCCCTCACAGGCACGCTCTCATTTATAGACATAAATTAATATATTCAATGATTACATTCGTGCCCTTGAATTCAAACCTCATACTTCCACTCATATGCACCGTACACTCCTTCATTGAGCACATGGGTACTGGAGTGTCCAGAAATGCAAATGCCACAGCTGCAAAGGCACGCACGCACAGCACACATGCACACACACACCGGCACATGATTCTGATATGGAACAGAAGCTGACCTTCCTCGAGAAGGACTGGTAGCCCAGATTGTGCAAGGTCAGGAGGGCAGGAGGAAGTTAGCCAATGGGCAGTGGGCTGGGTAGGGGAGGATGCCCTGGCGAGAACTAAAATATGCTTCAGTGGTAGACAGAGGTGACTCTGTTTCTTAGTTACTGTGAGAGTATCTTTTGCTGAGTGGTCCGTTTGGCTAGCTCTGTGCTCAGGGGCTTTAGTCAAAAGACCTCCCTGGGGAAGACTTCCCCAGCCTCCCAACCTGAGCTTGCAAACCCCACACGTTACCCACACAAAAGCACTGGAATACCTGCTCGCCCTCAGCTTGCCTTTCCCTCCCAGCATTTATCAGCACTAAAAAAGTCATCTCCATCATTTATTCCTTCCCTCTAGAATATACTGCTTCCTAAAAGCAGGGGTATTTTTCTCTCATACATTTCCTGCTTAATTTCCAAAACTATAATGCCTGGTTCATAGCAGGCAATCAAGAAACAAGTGGTTTTAGAAATGATTTGTTTCATTCTCTGCACAGCACACAGCACCCGGAAGTAGGTGCTATTCAGAGCCTGGTTCTATAGAGAGCAGAGGCTCAGACAGAGTAAATGACATACCCACAGGCACACAGCTCCCGAGGCACAATCAGGTTCTGACTCAAGCAGGTTAGCTCCAAAACCTGGGCTATCAGTGAATGGTCTACCTCACCAGTGTATGAGCACCAGGAAGTTCACTACCCTCATCTGAACTCAGCTGCTTAGCTGCACAATTCAGTTCAACATTTATTCTTTCATGTCTCATCCAGCTGAGGGATGCTGTGATTTCACAGTGAATGCTTCACAGGGGTAAAGGACTTGATGCCTGCCAAAGCATTTCCAAATAGCTTACCTAATTCGATTCCCACAGCCCAGACATTCCCAAAGGTTCCTTTTGGTAAGGAAACTTCAGGGGGCTCAGAAAGGTGAATACCTGGCCCAAGGTCCCATCTTTAGGGGAGTGGGGCCACCCTTGAGCAACTGAGTGTCCCCCGGGTCCTGGGTTGCCAGAAAGGCATAGACTTCTTCCAGCCCCTTCTGTCCAGGGACAAGTTTGGTTTGCTCCCCCAGATAATTACCAATGCTTGCTACCTTCTCTTCTCTCTACTTTCATTCAACTTAATAATATTGGTGAATATCAATAATATCAGTGCATATCAATATCACCTACTAGATGCCAGGCATATCACTGGCCACTGGGGCTGCAGCTCATCTCTGCCTCCATAAGCTTGCATACCGGGAGAGGCAGAAACGCAGCCTGATGTGATGGTGGGCTGATGGCAGAAGTTCACGGAACCTTAGGGCTGCATGGGTGTGGCCCCTAAGGGTCCGGGAAGGCTTCCTTTCCCAAGGAGGAGGTGATGACTGAACTGAGACTAGTAGATTGGCAGGAATAAATTAAGTCACAGTTGGAGAGGGTGTCCCTGTGCCAAGGCCCAGAGGTCAGCAAGCCAGGCCATTGGGAGAACTCACCCCACCCACCTCTCTGCTCTGGGACTCTACCCTGCGCAGCCCATGCCTCTGGAAGCCACCGACTCTTGCTGGAAGAGAGCTCCTTCCAGCACCATTGAACGGCTGGCTGTTGCTGGGGCTTCTCTCAGCCCTTCCAGCTTCCCTGCTGCCTGGCCTACCTACTCCATCTCCAGGGAAGCAGGATTCATTCTAGGCCCGATTTATTAGCCTCATCCTGGAGTCATCCCAGATGCTGTGGCTGGTCTCATTTACTGACCTGCCTGAGGGCCGAGAAAGGAAATTCATTAGGCCTGCAGAGCCCATGGCCAGGCCCATCTGTCTGGGCATCTGCCTCCCTTCCCCTCCCCTTCCATTCTCCTCTCCTCTTCCTTTTTCTCCCCTCCCCTCCTATTCTCTCCCCCCACAAAGGAAGGAGGCTCTGTGCCTGAGTCTCTGCTCAGGACTACCAAGGCAGTGACACCACAGAGCCTGGTCCCCGGGGAGGATCCTGACCAAGGAGGAAGAAAGGCACAGAGGTCTGGAGAAACTCCTCTGCAGCCTCCAGTACTGCACCCCAAGGTCCCCCAACCTCCTACCAGACCCAGGAAACACACACTCTCCATCTGGGGATTTGGAAACCTCTCTCCCAGGTATACCAGACCTGCCTGTTTTTATGCAAAAGGTGTCTTCCTGGCAAGTTGTATGGAAATAAGATCTCCTGAAATAGATTGCTACCTTTAAAGCAAAAGGCAAGGCAGCCTCGGAGGCATTTCCATTCCTGGCACAGGGCCAGTAAGGTGATGCGACAGAACAGAGGACTCGATGCTTTTTATATTCGTATGTCTTAAAGGTACAAAAATATATATAAACGTATAATTAGCATATCTAACCCTTGACTACACAAGATGAAATTGCTTTGAATAAAGGTAAAATGGGTATTTACATTTTTAAAAGCAGATCAATTTAAAGAAAAATTCTAAGTATAGTTACAGAAGATATACAGTATTTGGCAAAGACACTAGAGTTTAGGACACATCATTCTAAAAGAGTAAGTCAGTGAACGCGTTGCTAAGGTTAAACTTCTTGTGAGATGAAGCAAACCTTGATTTCAGCAGCGCATCTCATGGAGGGAAGCTACAACCCCAGGTACCTTGCCAAGCCGGCACCTGCTCCCCTCAGCCTGCAGAAGAGAAGCCATCCGAAACAGATCACATGTGTGCAGTGACCCCGGAGGTTTAAGCAAACATGGCCTCAGGCCTCGGTAAATGTTTAGACTTAGTGACTGGCTGGCAAGGGGTGAGGCCTCAGGCTCTCTGTCCCTGACAGCTGTCCCTGTGTGGGCAGGCTGGGGGGTGATGATGGGGAGGGAAGACCTGGGTCAAACTCCTCACCCTGTGCTCATCTTTTCTGACCTAAGGAGAGCTGACACTCTTGGAGTGTTTTTGCAGCTTCTGTGTGGGTAATAGCCTGGAGCCTGTCTCCCTCTCTCTTTCTCTCTCTCTCTCTCTCTCTCTCACACACACACACACACACACACACACACACAGAGCAATTACTGCACCCAGCTACCTCTATATACATGTACACAAAGCCACACAGTTTACACATCACAGGTATACATTATTCACACATAGATACATATATAGACACATATGTATAGTCCCTCCAAAATATATGTACACAAAAGCACACCATTATACCTTCATATGTGCACACACACACTCACCCAGACTCACTTCATACACACATAGATACAACCATCACAGCTCACAGTCACACACACACACACACACACGGACACCCAGCTCTAATATAATCAGATAGAGCTATGCATGCAGACATATTTGCCTGTATAGTCAAACACATAAGCAAATAAAAGAGAACCAGACACCACATTGGCAAAGGCAAACCTATACCAAAGACACAGAGCACACAGGCACATATATCTATAGACCCGCCATGGCACTTACGGGTAAGTGCACATAGGCACACACATCCACAAGCATGCACAGGTAGAGAACATAATCCCAGTGTAGTAAAGAACAGCACAGCTTTAGCTTGGGAACATCACATCAGACACAATAGCACCGGCTGCAACATGCATTTCCTCGGCTGTCAGCTTCCCAGCCATAGAGGATGCCCAGGGCACTGGCCTAAGCCAGGCAACTGGGCACAGCAAAGAAGACACCCCCTCCACCCCCTTTGTCAGCTCCCATCTGCTCCACCTCACAAGAAACTCAGAAGCTGAGGAGTCAGGGAGACCAAGATCACACCCAGGCTGTTCTCGCCCACCAAGTCTTTGTCATGAGGTTTGTATCAGTCACCCTGTCTGCTGCTACAGCACAGTGCCAGCTGGCCCACAAAGACCATTCGGTGTAGTGAAGTCGAGCAGACCCAAGGTCAAGCGCTGCCTCTGCCCTCCACAGCTGCGGACCGTGAGCAGGTCACTTCACCTTTCCCAATCTCAGTAGCCTCATCTGTAAAGTGGGTGTAATGATAACACCCAGCTCAAAGAAGAGTGTGAAGATTAAATTAGTTGTGCATGTACTGACCACTTAGCAAAGCTCCTGCCATGCAGTAGGCACACTATAAACCAGGTATTTGTGAGAAAACTTGGCACTATTGACATTTTGAGCTGCATAATTTTTCATTGCTGCGGGGGCGCTCTGTGCATTGTAGGACATTAGCAGCTTCCATGGCCCCACCTGCTCTGAGCACCCCCTTCCAAGTTGTGACAACCAAAAGTGTCTCTAGACATTGCCAAGTGACCCCTGGGTGGTTAGCGGCAGGGGGAGCTGCCCCCACTGAGAGCCACTGCTATGCATGTTAACTTCTGTTTTTGTTGTTGGGCTCCTCACTGGTAGTATACAGGCTATGAGATGATCAGAACAAAAAGGGAACCTGAGGCTGGAATGAAGATGCACTGTGGCTCCTGTAATCATTTCCCTCCTCTCTCCCTCTCCCCTTTCTCCACCTTTGCTGCTGAAGCCACCTTGCAGGGGCAGTCCTGGTCTTGTGAACAGCTGGAGGAAAGACAGTTGAGGTACCTGCACATGTTACCGTGGGAGGAGAGCTGAAATGGATTCTCAGGGATGGGTAATCTGGTCAGGAGCAATCCTGCACCTAGAAACTTGGCCTTCTGGGAAGTTAGGATGCACTCCACTTTTGGGCAAACTTGGGTGGGGCTGCCAGGGGAGAGGGCTGGGGAAGTCAGGAGCAAAGAAAAATCAGGGCAGCAAAAGGGCAGAATAAGTGACTTGTTGAAAGAACCTAGCCTCATCTATTAAAATACAAAATACATGTATCTTTTGACAAAGGAATCCCTTACATGGGAATGTGTCCCATAGAACAAGAAATTGTTTATAAGATTTGTAAGTACAAGGTGTTATTGCAGCACTGTTCATAGTGGCAACAATCTAAAAGCCACCTTTGCATGTCTGTCAGCTGGGGAATAGTTGAATAAATTGTGGAATTTTACAAATTCCATGTAATGGAATATGTTGCACCTGTTAAAAAAAAAGCTTGCTACATATCCAGTTATCTGAATTAATGTCTAGCACAATATTTTTAAATAAGAAAAACAAGATACAGAATACTGTAGGATCCCACTCTTTTGGTAAAATCAACTAAAAAGCCCTATTTTTTGTATATATCTGAGTATTAAAACAGCTAATATTAGTTGTGGGAAGAAAGGTGGAATGAGATGAATACAAAGAGATGACTTTTCATATGTAATTATCATATCTTTTATGCATTGCTATGAGTGTACACTACTTCATTAATTTCTGCAGATAAATTTAATAAGGACATTTTTTTTTCTTTGAGACAGAGTCTTGCTGTTACCCAGACTGGAGTGCAGTGGTGCAATCTCAGCTCACTGCAACCTCCACTTCCCGGGTTCAAGAGATTCTAGTGCCTCAGCCTCCTGAGTAGCTGGGATTACAGGCACATGCCACCACACCTGACTACATTTTTAGATTTTTCAAAGAAATGGAGTTTCACCCATGTTGGCCAGGCTGGTCTCAAACTCTGGACCTCAGGTGATCCAGCCTGAGCCACCCAGTTTTCCAAATTGCTGGGATTACAGCCATGAGCCACCACTCCTGCCCAAGGAGTGTTTTTAAAAGAAAAGAAAAGAGCTCATTCCTGAACCAATCTCCCAAGCTGAGGTTTTAAAGTATGGTGGGTGACTCCTTCATTCATAAATCTGTTCAGCAATTCTATCTTGAGAATCTGTTATGTGGTGGGCACAGGTCTGGGCATAGTTGATACAACAGGTAACAAGATATATCCCTACCCCAAAGTACTCACATTCTGGTGGAAACACAGAGAACAGAGGAACACATCCATGTATAAGGCATTGAGAGGTCATGTTTGTAAGAAAAACAGAGCAGGGTGAGGTACAGTTATAAGTGGTGGCCTGTCTTTTGAATAGAGTGGTCAGAGAAGATCCTGGGCAGAAACCTGAATGGATTGAAGGACAGAAGAGCCTGGGGAAGGAAGATCCAGGGAAGTGTGACCCTCCAGAAGGCCTCTGAGGGCAAATACACAGAGGTGGAACATACTGGAAATGCTCAGAGCAACCAGGTCAGTGCAGGAGTTGGCGTAATTTCGGCACAGGAAGTATTTTGAATGTCATTCTGTGGGGGTTTGTCTTTAAAAAGCAGCTTTCATCATTCCTGGACTTGTTCAAGACTGCAGTCAGCCCAGGCTATATCCTGGAGGGTCTAAGCAAAGGTTCAGCAGAGGTCCTGGTGGGCTCCAGGCAGGAACCGAAGATGTCGAGCAAGACCCTGATCATTCATGCAAATGAAAGCCACCATGGTGTACCCCAGAGGTTTAAGCAAACATGGTTTAAACCTCTGCAGAAATTAACAAAGTAGCATACACTCACAACAACGCATAAAACACATGATAATTACATAGATCTATGTGCTTATACACACACACATTTCTTCCAGTGGGATGTGGTAGAACAGCCCCTGCTGGTGGGAGAATCCTTGTGGAGCAAGCCCTTTGGAAATGGTTGGCGTTTCCTAGTTAAGCTGAACACGCATGCACCCTGAGATCTACAATTGCACTCCTAGGGCGGTCCCCTCTAGGAACTGCAGCATGCCAGTGCTGGGAAACACACACAAACCTGCACGCAGCAAGACCATTCATGATAGCAAAAGCGGGAACAGCCCAAATGTCTGCGGAGAGTAGAATGTGTGAGAAAACTGGGTTGCCTTCCTCAGTGTGTTACAACACAGCAGTAACAATGAATAAACGGCTGCGGCAGGCCTGGGTTTGGGTGAATCCCAGAGCCTCGTGTGAACACAGAAAGCAAGTCACAGAGCACAGAGAGTATGATTCCATTTGCACAAAGTCCAAAACCAGGCAAAATAGCTAGACTTTGTTTAGAAATCCATAAATAGGTCGGCCAGGTGTGGTGGCTCACCCCTGTAATCCCAGCACTTTGGGAACACGAGATCCGGAGATCAAGACCATCCTGGTCTTGGTGAAAGCCCATCTCTACTAAAATACAAAAAGTTAGCCGGGCATGGTGGTACACCCCTGTAGTCCCAGCTACTCAGGAGGTTGAAGCAGGGGAATCCCTTGAATCCGGGAGACAGAGGTTGCAGTGGGCCAAGCAAGATCGTGCCACTGCACACCAGCCTAATGACAGAGAAAGACTTGGTCTAAAAAAAAAAAAATCTGTAAGTAGCTCATAAAAGTATGCAGAGAAACAAAGGAGTAATTAACACAAAATTTTTTTAAAAAGGTGTTATAGACAGTAATTTTTAAGTGAAAATAGTTGATATTTGATTGTATGACTCACTTAAAAAGAAGCCAAAATGTATGAGTGCTTTTGATTTATTTTGTTAAGTAGATGATGAAGGTGAAATTGTCAGTGGATGACACTAATCCTTCTCTCTCCTCCATTTTCCATGGGACTGTAGATTTAAAGCAAAAAGTCAGTACTGTTGATGCCTTGAAATAAGCTATACAGTTACCCATTTTGGAGATTAGCAGAGTGGGGCTCAAAGAGGTGATGGCACTTACGCAAGATAACCCGGGATTCAAATCCAGGTTGGTAGGACTCCAAAGCCAGAAAGAACTTGACATATTTGAGAACTGAAAAAGAGGGCAGGGTGGTGGGAACACAGTGTATGAGGGATAGCAGAAGGATTTGTAGGTCATGGAAGGAAGCTTGCACTTTATTAATGGTGCCCTAGGGAGCCACCAAAGTGTTTTTAAGCAGAGGAGGGACAGGGCCAGATCTGCACTGTATAAAAACTTCTCTAGCTGCTGTGTCATGAATAGACTGGAAAGGGGCAAGGGTGAAGGAGGAGACCAGCAGAGCAGGCATGGCCGGGACAGTGCGGAGAAAAACCAGGTGAGAGCTTCCTGGCTTCCGGGCCTGAGTGCCAGGGCTCATGGTGAGAAATGAGCAAGGTGGCAGTGATTTGGAAAAATTGCAAAAGAAGAGAATTTTGGTTGGAAGAGCCAAGATCTTCTTGCTATTATATAGATGGAGGAACAGAGGCCTGGAGACATTGCAGGGTTTGCTCAAGGACCCACATTAGAGGTGGAACTCTACCAGAAGTCAATGCCACACCTGACCCCCAGCCCTGTTCTCTCTCCAGACCAATCCCTTGGGGAAGAGCTGCAGATATGAGGGAAGACAGCAAGACCTGCATGATGTGTGTTTTCAGTTGCTGGGAAACAGAGAGACCCACTGGAGTCCCACAGGCTGGATGGTTTTGTTTTTTCACCCAGGGTAAAATCTTAACTAGTTGCTACTATTTATGTATTAGGAGGTTTCCTGAAAAAAATCAAAATTTCTGAATTTTTTTGAAAAATCAGAAAACATGGCCACCCAGCCCTGTATTCCTACATGGTGGCAGCAGTGGGAGCAGACCTGTTGCTGTGCCCTTGTGGATCTGTGCTCTCTAGTTCGCCATGGTCCCTGCCCCTCTGTATTATCTCCGGGATGCAATAGCCTGGTGTCACCTGCAGTTGGCCACCATGCTTGAGCTGTTGTGTTTTGAATATGTGGCCCACTTCCCTCATTCGTGTGAACTGCCTTGTCCACAGAGACATACTCTTGTGATTCTGACTCTAGAATGTCTCCTTTAAAAAGTGTTTTAGGACATAAAGATATATACATGCTCTAATCCATTACTACCCAATTAGCTATTGTTGTGGAACCCTGAGTCATTTTTCTCAAAATTCTCCTGGCAAATATGTTCCCTCTGAAATCTTCCTCCCCACATCCCCTGGAAATAGAATCTCCTGCCCACGGCTGTAGTGGTCCCTTTCTCTGCATCCCCCACTATTCCTCTTCTTTTGGATCTTGCCAAGGGTTATGGTCTGCAGTTTTCTATACCCTTTCATTCCCTTGCCCTAACCCCCTCGCCTGCCCACTATGGAAACCTGGCCCTCCCTCCCCGCTGTGGAAACGTGGACCTGTGCTCTGCTTCCCTGCAGCTCTCCATGGCTAGTGTTCTTTTTTTGCATCTGGTAGGTAAAAGGAACCAAAGACAAACATTTACAAGGAACGGAGGACAGGGACGGGTCAGGTTTCTTAAGCTTCTTGGAGCCGGAATGTCGATCACCAACTCTATACCCTTAACAATTCGCTCTGGACAGTGGCATAATAAATCTGTGCCTTCCACTTTCAGAGATGAATAAACAAGAATGTCTTATCTCAGATGTTTGAGGCCTCCCCTCTTTGGCTTTCTATTCTACTGCCTCTGTTTAGACCTGTGCCACTTGCAAACTTGCCACGGCCTCCCATCCAGCCTTCCTGCTTCCAGCTCACCCACTCCTGTCCATCTTCTGCCCTGCCTCAATCTTCATCAGGTCTCCCCTCTATGTGAATTTGATCGAGAGCTCCCTATCACCTTAGAGTGAAGCCCAGGCCCTTGACCAACCAGGCAGGGCTCACCTAAGTTCCCAGCCTCATTGCTCATTTCTCACCATGAGCCCTGGCACTCAGGTCAGGAAGTCAGGAAGCTCTCACCTGGTTTTCCTTGCCCACATTTTTTTTCCCTCTATCAGAAAAACTTATCTCATTAGGATGGAGTTGGGTAGGAGGGACACTTGCACAGATCCTTCAGGAATCAGTTTAAACACCAATTCCTCCCCACCCTTTGTCTGACTGCCTGTCTCCACCAAAGCATTTAGATTGTTTTGTTTCTCCTCTGCTCCTACCTCTGCTGTGGCCTGCCTGCTTGCACAATTTACCGATCCGTTTCCTCCAGACTCTGAGGCCCCAGACAGAGACCCTCTGGCTTGTCTCTGTGTCCTCAGAACATGGCCCAGGATCTGGCATGAGGACAGCCTAATCCAAGCTTGAGGAATTGAATGATGCAGTACTGAATTTCAGCAAAGACACACAGAGGTTGTTCATAAAAGGCTGTCCTTGGGTTTTTTAAAAATATGTTTCTTGCTTCCTAGAAGCAAGGACCATTCTTCAAGACAATGACCATGGGCCTCTCTCCACCCTTGCCAGCCACAAGGCCCTCTCTATTCCTTTCACAGGAATAGGTCCTTCTGTCACTGGGCACAGGACCTTTGACCACAAAATGTTGTGAGTTACCACTGACTATTTTCTGGGTCTTAATCTTGTGACTCCAAATGGATGGTAAGCTCCTTAAAGGAAACTCTGTGATATTCATCAACCATCCACCCATCCCTTCATCTACCCAACCATCCATCCATCTGACCATCATCCATCCATCCATCCATCTATCCATCTATCCATCTTCCATCCATCTGTCCACCCACCCATCCACCCATCCATTCAATTATTCATCCCTCCCTCTTCCATCCATTCATCTATCTTCCATCTGTCTGTCCACCCATCCATTCAACCATTTATCCATCCAACCACCCATCTATTCCTCCAACTACTCGTCTATTCATCCCTCTGACCATCCAACCATCCATTGATTTGTTCAATTATTTCATCAAGCATCTTCGCTGCACCACACACCCTAATGGGTGTTGGAGAGAAAATGGGAGTAAAATCAGATGGGACCTCTGATCTCAGTGCAGCTAGCTATCAGTCCAGTGGAAGAGACATGTAAACTGACAATTACAAATAAGCATAATGTGTCAACTGTGACAAGTGCGGTGAGGGAGAAATCAGCAGTACTGTAAAAGTCTGTGTGGTCCTGGCGTGAGAGGTGGGATAAGCCAGCATGGTAACAGCAGCAAGACCATGGGAGAGTGTGGTACAGATGAGCAGGTGTGTAGAGCATGCAGGCCATGTGCACCAGCCCATTCTTTGTGCATTAAAATGCACAAAGACAATAAAACGGGATTGTCCCATAACAATAAAACAGGACCTGTGTTTCGGCAGATTATACTATTGGTTGACTGGGCACAGTGGCTCACACCTGTAATCCCAGCACTTTGGGAGACGGAGGTGAGAAGATCACCTGAAGTCAGGAGTTCGAGACCAGCCTGGCCAACATGGCAAAACCCCATCTCTACTAAAAATACAAAAGTTAGCCAGGCATGGTAACATGCACCTGTAATCCCAGCTACCCAGGAGGCTGAGGCAGGAGAATCACTGGAACCTGGGAGGCAGAGGCTGCAGTGAGATGAGATAACCCCATTGCACTCCAGCCTGGGTGACAGAGCAAGACTCCGTCTCAAAAAATTATAAAAATATAAATAAATGCCACTGGCCTTGCATCTCAAATGTCTCTTTGTTCATTCATTTATACAAATACGCTCAATAATATCTATGCATTTTTCCTGGGATATCATTTTCTTATATAATACAAAGCGTCTATTTATATACTGTATATGTAAATATAATACACAGATGCACACACATGCACAAGCACACATGCACAGAACGTCTTGACAGTCGGTCCCACGTAAGGTAGTCCACTGCAGTGCAGTCATTACCATCATCAGACCTTAGAATTATATAACCAGAGCACCTTATATTTTTATATTTTATTATGTATTTAATAATCACATAACTCTTTAGTGAATGCCAATTAATTTAAAGAATTACATGCATTATCTCTGCTCCTCATAACATCCTCCCTAGATAGGTTTTGTTTTCCCATTTCAAAGATGTGGGAACTGGGCCGGGCACAGTGGCTCACGCCTATAATCCCAGCACTTTGGGAGAATAAGGCAGGTGGACCACATGAGGTCAGGAGTTTGAGACCAGCCTGGCCAACATAGCAAAACTCTGTCTCCACTAAAAATACCAAAATTAGCCAGGTCTGGTGGCACACACCTGTAATCCCAACTACTTGGGTGGCTGAGGCAGGAGAATCGCTTGAACCCTGGAGGTGGAGGTTGCAGTGAGCTGAGATCACTCCACTGCACTTCAGCCTAGGTGACAGAGCAAGACTTTGTCTCAAAAAAAAAAATATATATATGGAGACCGGGGCTCTGAGTTGTGAAGTCACTTGCCCAGGTCACACAGCCGGAATTTGGGGAAGGCAGCCCTGGAGCTAGGTCTCTGTGACCCCTCTCCATTCACACTGCCCCCTCTCTAGCATTTTAGGATCCAAAGGCACCTGAGAGAGTGCTCAGACAGCTGGCTGAGTTAGGAGCTACCTGAGGCTGCTGAAGAAGAGTTAGCCTTTATTTAAAGAAAGAGCCATTCAAGGAATGAGGACCATGACCTTGGCTGCACTGAGCAGCTGGGCTCTGGGACTCTGTGAGGCTGCCCAGACATCAACAGGCCCTGCACAATAGATCCACTGACCCAGCGATCAGAGGTGACCCTAGGGGTCAGTGGCTCTTGGCTAAGGAGGAGGAGCACAGACCTGCGATCCCCTTTTCTCATGGACCACCCAGGGAGGCTGAGAGGGGACTGTGAGTTCAGATGGACAACCTCAGAGCCACTGGGGATTTGCCTGAGGCCACTGGGGTCAGGCTTGAATCCATATGCAACCAGCGTGGGCTGTGCGCCTGCCATTTTCTAGGCTCTGTCACATGCGTCTTTCTGCCAAATCTCATGGTGATTCTCCAAGAATAGTACTATTACTATCCTCATTGACAGAGGGAGAAAGGGAGGCTCCGAGAGGTTAAGTGTCTCACCGAAGCTCACACAGTTTCTGAGTAATAGAACTTGACTCAGTACGGGTTAACACCCATCCATTCATTCATTCATTCAATAACCATTCACAGCACAGCTACCACATGCCAGGCACTGTTCTAGGCACTTAGAATACATAGATGAGCAAAACAGGCATGACATTACCATTCGAGTGTCATCATGCCAGGGCTGGTACAGTTGCTACGGGAACAAATAAAAGAAGACTCACTTCTTGCCTTTGGGGAGTAGGTAGTCTAGTGGAGGAGGCATATAGACGGAAAATTTCAAAGCACTGTGGAAATTTTAGGGTACTTTAATAGGGCTTAGCAAAGGGGCTATGAGAATAAAGGGTGGAAGGCTTCCTGGAAGAGGTGTTGCCTGAGATGAGGCCGGAAGAATCAGTTAGGGAAAGAAAATTCATTCCATGTAGAATTCATGGTGGGTGATAGAGCCTAATCCAGTCTTTTTTGGGTACTGAGCACTGAGACCCAGACACGGGTGCTCAGACTTGACTTATTCTCTCAGGTATAGCTTGAGCAAAGACATAGAAGAAGGTAGGTTTTTGGTTCAGTGAACTCTACGTCTGGCTACAAAGTGTGAAGAGAAACAGGAAGAGACGTGGTTGAAGAGAACAGGCTTGTTCTTCAAGTCGCAGTAAAATGAGCTAATGCCATTTATGATCACAAAGATAACTCTGCTGGGGAGGGGCAAACAGAGGCTGAAGTGGAGTGGGTGAGGATGGAGGCAGGGAGATGGCTGCAGGGATCCCGGCAATGACAGTGATTGTGTGAAGGGACAACCCCTAATTCTGTGCTTCGAAATGCAAATCCAGTGCTTTAAACAAATTATTTTAAATTTATTTATTTATTTTTGAGATGGAGTCTCACTCTGTCACCCAGGCTAGAGTGTAGTGGCACAATCTCAGCTCACTGCAATCTTTGCCTCCCGGGTTCAAGCAATTCTTCTGCCTCAGCCTCCCAAATAGTTGGGACTACAGGTGCACGCCACCATGCCCAGCTATTTTTTTATATTTTTGGTAGAGACGGGGTTTCACCATGTTGGCCAGGCTGGTCTCAAACTCCTGACCTCAAGTGATCCACCCACCTCGGCCTCCCAAAGTGCTGGGATTACAGGCGTGAGCCACCATGACTAGTCTTATTTTTTTTTTTAATTTATATTTTCAGAGACAAAATGATCCTTGCTCATTAAAAAAAAGAAATGGAAAGTAGAAACAAAAATGCCTGTATCAGATGGGAAAGATAAGCCCAATGTTCTTTTTCTAAAAACCTTTATTATGAAATATTTCAATAAGTATATGCAGTTTATATTGTGATAAAGCATGATAAGCAATCAAACAACTGTGAACCCAGCACTCCATGTCAGAATTAGAACTTGACCAAGCAGTCGCAACTGAGGTGAGATCCACTCTGATGCCCTTCCCTGACTCTGCCCCATTCCCCGAGACCTGACCACCTGATCACTCTAGAATTTCATTTTTGTCTTGTTGCCTTGCTTTGCTTTACACCTTTACCAAATGTGAATGAGCCCCAAACAATACAGTGCTTAATTTGCTTGTGTTTAAGCTTTATTAAAAATATATCTTTGATCCTTCTGCTACTTGCAATTCTAAATTTGGTATTATGAGTCAGCCTCATCGGTGTTGCTGCGCGTGGCTGTCATCTATTCACTCTCACCAGTACCTGGTGTGCTTTGTTGCATGCATGCACCCCTGCTGGGGTATCCATTCTCCTGTTGGCCTTTGGTGGTGTCAGTTGTTTGTTGTCTCCATGGTGCTGTTCTCATGCAGGCCTCCAGGACACATGTGCATGAGATCCTCTAGGAAACCATGGTGTAGAACTGCTGGGTTGCAGGCCCAGCGTTCTTTCCACTTCCCTATCCTCCCAAGTAGGGTCTAGCTGGCCCCAAAACAGCCTTAGTGCCGCCATGTTGGGCAATCTGGGAGTGGCAGTCCAGGGCAGACAGGCCCAGGCCAGCCACCCTGCCCCAGGAATTTCCTAGAACTCAGCAGGCACCCAGCGACCCCTCATCAGTGAGCAATACCCAGAAATGTGCCAGCTGGTTGCTAACTAGGTCACACGAGAGTATTGCTCTCTCACTCAGGGTTTGTCCCATTTCCTTCAGCACTTGGGCCAAGGAAGGCTCTGTTCACAGGCCACATACCCAAGGGAGCTGGCAATCAGCTCACAGATGCTGAGCTGACCACATACCAGGCAGTGTGCAAAGCACCTTACATGTAGAACGCACTTCATCCTCATCCAACTGCATGAGGAAGGCACTATTATTAACCTCATTTACAGATAAGAAACTGAGGCACAGGAAGTTGAGAATTTTGCCCAGAGCAACATGTGCTACATCAAATCTGGGCAGCCAGGCTGCTCTGCTCTTACTACTCTGCCACACCATTTCTCAAGAGGGGGA